GCCAAGTATTTAGCAGAATGGAGAGAGTTGGATCTGCTGAGTTCCTGGAACCATTAGGTCCTGACAGAACGCAGATTTAAAGATTTGAGGGAAGAGAGAGATTTTGCATATCTATTCTGATGAGCCACCATAATTTTGTGTTCTTAGTTGATTTCTACAAGCTAATTGACACAGTGTAGGCGGAAAGACTGAGATGCTCCGGGATTCTACCCCAAGTGAAGGACACTATATAAAGTTACGTTGTTGTTGTTGAGGTGTCTAGGCTGTGATATATGGGAGTGTCTGGAATCTTCTCCCATCCATGTTGGAGGTGTCTTCAGCTGCTGCCACATATCCAAATATTCTGACCTTGAGAAGAATCAGACACCACTCCCACTAGGCACATGGCATGGAATACTCCCACTCATGGGTGGCCACCCCAGTTTCAGCCAGAGTGGGGGAGAGGCGAAGGTTGGCAACAATTCACACAGGGAACGAGACAAAGCAGCAGAAAATACTCAGTACTAATGATCTATGGAAACAAAAACACTTCAATCATGGGCAAGAGCAAGTGGCTGCATTTCATGCAGCACCGTATCACATTGTTGAGACGTCTCAAAGCGCCTCACAGAAGATATTGTAAAGTGAATTGACTGTGTATTTTGTGCGCGAAATGGGGAAATAGGCCAAGGTGGGGTAAGGGAAATCTCAGCTGAGCCCAGCTGACACATCCTCACCGAATACATTATTGAAATATGTTGATAGTCTGGAATAATATACATTCAATCAAGGCACAGTAATTATTTGGGATCAAATATGATGAAATATTAATCAGTGCCGAGTGGGAAGAGAGGATTGAATTTGACATGAATTTGAATTTGTTCGATCTTATAGACACCAGTGGAGAAGACACAGGTATGTTTTGTTATGCTTGTATTGTAATATAATATTGAATATTTTAACAGCGGTGTTCAGAACAATAACCTGTGTTGTATTTTTTTTGGTCAGTGTGTCTGACACGGAAAACATCACTATCCTTCACAAGTCTAAACCAGATTCAGATTTCTATGTCTGTGACCTACACATAGAAATCCCCATGTCTGGAATGGAATGAGCACGAGCACTCTCTCCTTGGAGGACATTCTACTCAACTAATTCCAGAGAGTATTAGGTGCATGCTGGCGAGAGGCCATGCTTGGGTACCCATCAGGGGTCACTGTTGGGGTAACTATTAGAGTCTAACCAGCTAAAACCGCTTAGCCTTGCCATTGCAAGAATCGTCTGGCAAGCTTTCCCACTGCTTGTGTAGGTAGGATCATCTTATCAGGAGCTCAGTGGGTAGCATCCTGCTGATAAGCCAGGCTGGATGGGTTTGCCGTCAGCAGTGCCTTGGAGCACTGTGGATCTATTCAAAGGTTGGCTTTGAACAATACTTAACTGGCCAAGACACTTGCCCCCCTGCCCTCCACCCTCCCCCACTCTGGCCCTCAGCTCGGGTCCATAACTCTGCTGTCCAATGCCTTGGGACGTCTTCCTGACGTGAAAGGCGCTATACAAATGTAATTTTGCTGTTGTTGTTTGATCTTATAGGCACCACTGAAGAAGACAAAGGTATGTTTTATAATGCTTGTATTGTAACATAATATTGAATATTTTAATCGACCGTTGAGACCACAAATATTCTGTTTTGGTCAGCAAGGACACACGCACATTTTTTGACACGTGAATAAATTGATCACCATGCTGAGGAATAAGCAACAACAACATCTTGTATTTTTACACAGAGCCCTTCATATGGGATAGTTTAATCCCTCAGACAGTTTAACGGTGACGGAGCTTAATGTCCACACAGGAAAACCAGCTGAAACCTCCACATGGAAATGTCTCTGTCTGGAAAGGAATATGCCCTCTGTCTTTTATTGGCCCCCACCTCCTCACCCTGGGAGGGAAGCAGCCTACTTACTGCATTGTGGAGAGTATTAGGCACAAGAGCCAAGGCGTGGGATAACTGCTGGAATTGCACCAGCCAAAAACACATAGATTGCCTTTGAGACCACTATCTGGCAAGCTTCCCCACTGTTTGCCCAGCTGGGATCACCCTACCTAATAATGCTTTGGTTTGCAGGGTTACCAGAAGCTGAGTGGGAACAATATGGGATACCCTCAGCGACCGGTCTGCCCCTTCAATCACTGCTGATGAGCCAGGCTGGCTTGGCTGTCATGAGCAATGTCATTGAGTGTTTCAGGTCCACCTGGCCAGGAACTAGCTGAGAGACCACACAGAATCACCTTGCAGCCAGTTCAAGTCCGGGGACACCCTGTGGTTCACAATATTCAGAAACAGCCATAAAGTGAATGACCAATTTTAGCTGAGAGATTGTGGCCAAGCTACAATCAAATGGGACTTTGGTGTAACCCCTCATCTGAAGGATGGCACCTCCCACATGTCAGCCAGTTTGAGCACTGGAGTTTGAGCGCAGACTGAGTCAGTTCAAGGATCTGGTGTCTGAATTGCAACAATTTCTGACTCAGGCAAAAGTAGTAGCGACTGAGCCAACCTGTCACAACATTTCAACTGGGTCATTGCAATCAATCCCATCAATTTATTTAAACATCAATCATTACTGTTATTTTCCCCAAGGTACTTTTAAAGTCTAGTTCAGGGCTAAATTAACCCCTTAACTCAATTCAATCAGCTGATAAACAAATAAGCCCAACATGTCCAATTTTCCAAGTGTATCCGTTCAATAGAACTATAAAATCATGAAATAATGACAGTTCACAGTTATAATCTTTAAGGCACTAAATATAAATATATCTACATACAAGGAAAATCCATAGTAGTAAAGATGATTAGGGATTTGCCATAAGAAGCATCTCTACAGCACAGGTTCATTAGGTTATACATGTGGTGTAATTTACATTTAACTTCAACTCACCACCTTGCACCTCAACCCATGAGTCAGAAGGTTTTTGGTCCATTTTCTATGTCCTAATATATCTCATCCTGGCAAGCTTTTCTAATGTTGACCCTCATACACGCATTCATAACATCCAGGCTCAACTACACAAACTCCCTGCTTGTCAGGCTCCCCAACTCCACCCTCCGTAGGCTGCAGAACATCCAGAACTCTGCAGCCGGTGTCCTCTACCGCACCAGTCTCCGCGACCCTATCACCCCCATCCTCGCCCGACTCCATTGACTTCCCATCACACGGAGGATACAGTTCAAGATCCTGGTTCTCACTTTCAAAGCCCTCCATGGCTCCCCCAGCCTCTGCAACCCCCTACCATCCTGCCGGCTTCCTCCGTTCATCGGGCTCCGATCTGCTTCAAGTTCCCCCATCTCACCTCACCATTGACAGGAAGGCCTTTAGCCACTCTGTCCTCACTCTCTGGAACTCCATCCTGCAGTCCCTCCCCCTCACCCCGTCCCTTCCCTCCTTCAAGTCCTGTCTCAGGACCCTCCTCGTTGACTGTGCCTTCGATCACCCTCCTTCCCCCCCTGCCCTCCATCCTCCATGATCGCAACCCACAGCTTCAATCCGAAATATTGATTGACCAGCGCCTTGGGACGTCCTCCTGACGTGAAAGTTGCTATGCACATGTAATTTTTGTTTGTTTGTTCAGGAGACTGTACAACACCCACCAATACACCTGGACAATAAAATAATGTCTTCTCCCCTCCCCACCCCCAGCTCAGCTGCCAATCCATCCATTTGGCAGATTCTCCCCTTGTGAAAGGCGTTATATGAATGTCAATTTGTATTGTATTTCATTCTCTCAAATCAGTCAAAATAGTCTGTCATCGAGACAGCTTGGCTTAGTTAATGAGATAGCCTGGCACCTTGCCTACAAGTCAGAGACGGTTGTGGGTCCAAATCTCACTTAGAACTCACAGTCTAACTGGCACTTAAAAACAATGCTTGCGGAGGGCTGCATTGTTGTGAGTCCTGTCCTTCGCATGAGATGTTGAACTGAGGCCTCGTCTCCCTGTTCGAGCAGATATTAAAGATCCCACATGATTATTTGAAAAGAGAAGGGAGTTTCTCCAGGCAACAGTAACAGCTTCCGTTTATATAGCACCCTTCACGCAAAGTAACATCTCAGAACGCTTAACAGCTTAAGTAGGCATTTCCTCCTTGTTTTGTCATGTTCTGGGTGGCCAAATGGCCTGTTTTGGTGGTGGACCTTCTTCGTAAAGCTTTGAATCTAAAATGAAACATTCTTAATTGTAAAAATCCTTCTGGATGGTACATAACACCAAGTTGTTTTCTTCATCAGATGCAGAAATAGAGGGGCTGAAACATGCTCTCAAATCAAAAGGTACTGTAAGAAGCCAACAGTTTAATATAAAAAACAGAAGTCGCTGGGAGCACTCAGCAGGTCAAGCAGCATCTATGGAGAGAGGAACGTGGGTTCACGTTTCAGGTTCTGTTGAAAGGTCATTGATCTGAAATGTGAACCCACTTTCCTCTCTCCATAGATGCTGCCTGACCTGCTGAGTGTACCCAGCAACTTCTGTTTTTATTTCAGATTTCCATCATCTGCAGTATTTTGCCTTTAGTGGTTTAATATGTGGTTTGCCTCATTAAGGTGATACAGACATCCCTCATCGAGCTATATTCAAAATATATTATTTGCATATTGCAGAGAAGAAACAGAAAGTAAACCCAGATCAGTACTTTAGAATTATCAATACAGTAGACAAAGAGGACAGAGGTTTAAAGTTGTAAAGGGCAATTTCAGGAGAGACACCAGAAAGTTTTTCTTTACCCAGAAGATACACAATTAAACAGTTTGATGCAGTGATGGTGGGAACGAGAGGGGGCTGCTTTGGAGGAATTTGATTGGATGCGCCGAAGGGCCTCCTTCATCCAGACCGATCTTGTGAGTTACGTTTTGAATTAGGTTAGGGTGATTAATTAGTAATTTAACGGATTTCTAACTGTGTAACATGATATGGTTCCAATGGTGAATTCATTAGTTGTTTAATATGTGGAATATATATTGAACAAAGTGTGCCACATAGTTTGGATCAAGTATTCAAAATAAACTGAATTATTATATAGATATAATCAGTTGAATGTCAGATCATGTGTATAATTCTACAGAGGAGCAACTGGAAGAACGAAACTCAGGTACAATTTAGTCATATGTTAATGTTGCCATTGGTTATTTTAATGCTAAAACCTTGGTAACCACCAAGGCTGATAAGCAATACATTTAAATCATTATCGATGGGCAAATTCTGTCCATTGTTTAATGAACAATTGTTGCGCTGCAATAATATTACCTCCTCAGTCACCCTCCTTCACAACTCTCTCTGTTAACCTCGACACCCTCCTTCACAACACCCTCGATACCCTTGCCCCCATCACCTGCCCCTCCCACAGGTCCCCCTGGTACCAGCCATCTCCACTCCCTCAGCCAATGCACACCTGGCTCAAATCCAACCTAACAAGCCACTGCCCGATCTGGCCGGACCACACCAAAACCTACTGCTTCACCCTTGCCTCAGCTAGATCATCCTACTCTAAGCAGGCCAAGGACAATTCCAGGCTCCTCTTCTCCACCACAAACCAACTCCTCGGCCACCTTCCTATTCCACACCCATCCTATCCTCCAACTCCAAATGTGAGTGAAGCTTTCTGAAGTGAAACAATCATTTGAGGGAAACCTGCTACCTCAGTGTTTGTTTTTCAATGTCAGAAATAGAGACGATGAAGAAAGCCATCAGGATCAAAGGTGATGGAAAACACCAATGTTTGCTGCTGTTTGCATAGAAATAATAAAATAATAATCATTGCTTTCCTTGTTCCGACTTGTTGGGTCAAAATGCTGTGTATGTGGAGGTAAACAGGATAGCCAATTTGTGCACAGCATTGTCCCACAAAATGAATGGGAATTGTTGGCAAGAGAGCTGAAGAAACTCCCTCCTCTTTCAGTTAGTGCCATGTGATCCTGAACAGACTGGCAACACTTCCGTTTAAACAGTTTGTGCCATGGAAACATCTCTAACAATGTCTCAGGACTGCATGATCGTTGCTTTCTGCATGTGTCAGATACCTGATGGACCAGAATAGGGTGAGGTTGACATGTTACCAGAGAACATCCCCCACCAGAAAGGACAGAAATGGATGTGCACAGAACTTTATTGACTTCCATGTAAAAATAAAATTATTGCACAACACACTTGCCAAGGCCACTGCCAATGGCTCTATTGTTAGCGGGAAACTGTTTGTTTGCTACCAAAGCAATTGCTGTTGATTTTCATTGACTATAAATTCAAAGGCTAAACAGTTGACCAAGCCTTTGTTTGGTAAACTATTTTAGATAGAATTTGTTTGTGCTAACCTTCAGCACAAAATGCTAATAAATAGACCACTACTCACTTGTTAGCCTGTGTCAAGTGAGAAAGTTTTTGAGTTCAAACTCCATATCGGAGACTTTGAGCTGACCTTCCAGTGCCGTGTTGGGGGGGTGAAGCATTGTCAGAGATACCATCGTTCAGATGCGACATAAACTGAAGTCCTGTCTGCTTGTTGAAGTAGATGTCAAAGATCCTGTGTATCTTCTTGACAAGAGAAGAGTTTCTCCAACTATCCCCAAAATAACGTTGAACATACACTTCAGGATTGTTGGATATAACTGTGTAAACATAACAAAATTATGTATAAAGTAAATCCTTGTATACTTTTTTAAAAAATATAACATTTCAAGAAAATAAAATGTGAGAGGCAATGTTTACTGCATAGGGAATTGAAATGAATGGAGCCACTTAAAGTATTAAATAGTTGGGCAATACAGTTAAACATTTTCCCTCTCCAATAATAGATGCCCTGATTCTTGAAAAAGACAAAGGTAAATGTGGTCAAAATGTGATTGATCCTACAGCAGGATTGCCGTTTACTATTTGTAAGGTTATAACAATCCTTTAAAGCTATCTGTAGAATCTGATTAGAGAGAACTGTTGGATTTCTGTTTAAAATTATTAATTATGTTGTAATTATTATGATCACAGCATTGAGCCGTGGTTGTGGTAAGAGTCCTCTGTATTTTTTATTCATTTGAATCCAATGAGCCTGAATACCCAATACATGTGCATTGTCTTCTAAATGATATTGTCATTTTCATAGTATTTTATATGCTGTACAGCACCAAAACATCCCATTGGGCCCAACAATGATATTGGTTTTCCTAGGGATGAGGGTAAACACTGACCCACTATGTCATCAACTCCAACTGTTACACCAGGGTTGGACAAGCTTTCCGCCCTTCTCTCCCTGCTCTTGAACATTCCTGTCGTCCCTGCATATCACCCACACTACCTTCAAAACTCATCTTAAGACCCCCTTTTTAACTGCATGTCAGTTATTGCCCCTTCCCCTCCCCATTCCACTCCCAACTTCAGCTCCAAGTCAGTCGCATGAAGCATTTGTGAAGTGTGAAGCGACCCTCCCAACCCGAAAGGCGATATCTCATAATAAATTATTATTGGCCACAAATAAATAAACACCTTTCATGTATTACAAGGATTATTATTATTACAGGTCAAGTGATGCAGCAAAAGGATGCAGGTAAAATATTGGCTTTGCTCAGTAATGCTTTTTGGAAGGTATCACACTTCAGACTTTCCCTGTAAAAATTCTCAAATATTCTGAAAGTATTTCAAAGCAATGATTGTCAGAAAATCTACCCTAGTGTGTTATAATACTGTACCAGATACATTTGCTTTGTAATCTGGTATAAAGATATATTATACTTTATATCTATAATACTGGACCAAATAATTATATTATATTGTCATTCAAACTGAAGCCGTAAAACCAATCTATTAAAGAACGGCACATTCAAATTCATGAAACGCAAGCTGACAATTTTGCTATTTTCTGGACCTGGAAATAAACCTTTACATTTTTCATCCAGTCAAAGATAATTTTTTTCCAAACATAAATCATCATTTCAAAACCCAGTTCAAATGTTATAGGATCGTATACAATGTAAGCATATTATTTAAATGACAAAAATGATAAGGTTAAGGGGAAGCAACAGACGATTTGGATTGGGGACTTGTTATCTGGAACAAAGTAACTGGCAATAAACTAGGTTGGTTGACTTTGTATACTGAAATTTCTTTATGAAATGTGATTTACTTTTCCAGAGTTGTCACGTCTGAGAAAAGCACAAAGTACTTTCAGTGAGCATGTGAACGGAGTATGCTGTGAATCAAATTGATATGAGCAGAAATAAAGAAGTTCAGAATTGTTCCAAATGTTGTAGATTTTAATGCACAACACTTTTATTTCTTAATTGTATTTCTTATATTTAATCATAGCAACTGCTTAAGAATCAACCCGGAGGAGGATATTAAGCCAATCAAGCCTTTAGGACCAGATTATAACGTTGTTCAGATATTTCAATCACAACATTCTGTTCTTTCACCCGACTCTACTTCTGAAGTACAAACATCCCTATTGATTCTGCCTCCATAGCTTTGTGTGAGGAAATGTGTCATCATGGAAAATATAACTCAGTGTCTCATTCAATATCCACAAGGAGAGTCAAAATGGGTTTGTAAGGGTAGACCATTTTTCTTCAATCTAATAAAATTATTTGCCAGAATCACAGAGGTAATAGATAAAGGGTAATTGATTCATGTCATATTGATGGGTTTTCATAAAACAATTGATAAAGTACCACAGTTGTTGATGGTTATGAGTTCAAGCACCATGTTAGGATGTTCAATTTATACGGTTTAGGTTCATACCACAATGTGAAGTGTGTTGCATTGTTGAGGGCGATAACCTTCGGATTAAACCATGGTCCCATCTGCCTGTTCAAGTGGGCATTACAAATTATCACACACAAATCAGTGCTCCAAAATAGTAATTTGGATATAAGTATAGAAGGGACTATTTCTCCAATGACACGGAATATTAAGATGTCAGTTCTTGTTAACCCCAAAGAATACAGAAAACAAATATGAAGAGCTGTAGGTGGATGAAATAAATAGGCAATGACAGATAAATCATGGCAGGTAAATAATGAATTCCTCCTTATCTATTTACAGCTCAACAGTTAGATGGACTTAATGCAGGTAATAGTTTGTTTTCAGTCTGTCCTTTCTTTTGGAATGAATACAGGTTTTAAGAATACAAAATGAAGAGTGCCCCAAAAAGCACTAGTCTTCTTTGTACAGTAAACCTCACATAAGTTGTATCGGTTGGGACCATACGTTTAATATGGTTGCCCAAACGCAGCCAACTCCTTGTCCTCGACTATTCAAATGTCCTCCTCGCCGGTCTTTCCACCTCCACTATCTACAAAATCCAGTTAATTCAAAACTCACCCGCTCTGAAAGCTGTCCCCTTTCCTCTAACCTCGATCAGACATTCCTCGTCTCCTCCATGTCATCTAGTGACGCTCTTTCCTCTCCCAGCCCCCCGCCCCTCCCACCACCCCGCCGCTGCCATGTTCTATGACATCGATGTTATGTCCCGGAGGGAGCGTTGGGGTACGAATGTGCCGTGTTCCGGCGGAGGCAGGCGCAGGACCATCAAGGTGGCCAAAATTTGCAAGGATATGGGGAAAGGGCAGGGAAGTGGGACTGATTGGATAGCTCTTCCGAAGAGCCAGCACAGTCACCATGGGCCGAATTGCCTCCTTCCGTGATGTGACATTCTATGATTCTATGATTCAGGTTTAGTGATTTCACATCTAATTTTGGCTTTAGGCATTAGGGATATGAGTCCCTTATCCACTCCACCATCAGTGGGCAGCTTTCAGCCTATCTAGTCCCACTCTCTGCAATTCTATCCCGGAGTCTGTCTGACTCATCCCTTCCCTACGTCTAAAGACTGCACTTTTGATCATCTCTTCCCCCTCCCCAGCACCCAGCTACCATCCCCAGCTCGGGGTCCCAGCCAGCATTCTGAAGCATTTTGATATGCCTTCTTGATATGAAAATCACTATGTAAATGTCAACGTTGTTGTATTGATTTCTCTTTTTAGAGTTGGCACGCCTGAAACAACTTTTAAAAGGTAAGTACAATACTAGAATGCCGAGTGATTGATTCTGAAGTGTTTTCACTGCTGGGCTCCGGCCTGAAACTGCCTTCAGCAACTCGAAACCTGTGTCCTTGGTAAATCCTGGGGGATATGGTAAATAGTTGGAAATTGGGCTGATTTCGAAGAAAAACAGTGTAACGGAAAGCGATTTCTCACTAACTATCAGAAAATTCTCCATTAAAACCTAAAGCTTTGGAATTTTAGGTGATATTTCCAAATTATACTCAACATTTCATTTCAATGTACAACAGGTTGTTTTAAACCACATTGAAACATTCGCTGAAGTTAACATTCTCTGTTTAATCTTGTAGACAAGGCTGAAGAAGAATCAGGTATGTGTTCAGATAAATATTAAATATTTTAATAGTATTGTTCAAACCACAACTTAGGTTACGCTGCTGAAACTCTCATTCCTGTTTGTGTGACCTCCTGATGTTCCTTCCAGCTGTGCTGTTAACAAGATCCAAATGGTTCAAAACTCTGCCATCTGTGTCTTCATTCATACCAGGCTCCGCACCCAATTAAACCAGCCATCGTCAGGCTCCACTGGCTCCATGTTGCAGAATGCATTAATTTCAAGATCCTCACTCTCACTTTCCAATCACTTCACACCCTAGCACTTCTGTACCTCTCCGACTTGCTCGCACCCCACTCCACTACCCACTGGCTTTCTCAGTTGGCTCAGGTCCTCCTATCATCACGTCTGCCATTGGCGGCTGTGCTTTCAGCCACTACACCCTGAATCTTCGAACTTCCTGCCTCGATCTTCACCTTGCCCACATGTTACCCGTTCCTCCCTCATCCACCTTAGTGGGGCCGCACTTGCATGGTTTGAGTCCTACTGAACCAACCACTTCCACTTCATCTCAGCAAATAATTTCTCCTTCTGCCTCTGTCCAGACACCTGCAGGATACCCAGATATCCATCCTTGGCCCCCTTTTTTTCCTCATCTATAGGCTCCTTCTTGGCGATGACATCCACAGACATGGGACATGTGTGTGGATGACACACAATTCTATTTTGCCTCCTCTAGCATTGACTCCAGGACCGTCGATGTTCTATCAGCTTGTCTGGCAGACATCGGGGCCTGGATGAGTGCAATCTTCCTGTAGCTGAATGTGGACAAGACGGAAGCCATACTCTTCAGCTCCCGTCAACTCCTCAACCTTCCTGGGCTCTCCCTTAGACTCACCAAACCAGTGCACAATCTAGGTGTCCGGTTCGACCCCCAGCTGTCCTTCTTCCCCCACATCCGGTCTCTGACCATGACCGCCTTGCTCCACCTCTGCCACATTGACCGCCTTACCCCAAATACAGCCGAAACCCTCGTGCATGCGTTTGTCACCTCAAGCTTGGATTACTCAAATGCACTCCTCGCCGGTCTACAAAATCCAGCAACACTAGAACTCATTCAGAACTCTGCCGCCCGCATACTTACCCGGACCAAACTCTGTACCCACATCTCACCAGTTCTGTCCATGCTCCACTGGTTCCCCGAACCGATCGACTTCAAGATCCTCACTCATGTGTTCAAAACCATTCAAAACCAAAACCATTCACTCCCTACCTCTCCGACCTCCTCACTCCCCAATCCTCCACCTAGTACCTCTGCTTGACTGGCACCGGCCCTCCTGCTCATCCCTCGCACATTCTGCCTCCCCATCCAAAAAGCAGCCAGGATGTACATTTTATGTACATGGCTATTGTTGGCCATGACACCAGGAAAAAACTATCTATTTTGGAATAGAGTTTATCTGGACAGGAACAGATGGGACCTTGTTTCACTGTCTCATTCAAAGGATTGCATCTCCTACATGTGCCACTGCCCCAGTACAGCCCTGGAGCATCAGTTTGGACTGTGAGCTCAAATTCCCCCAACTGGGATTTGAACCCACAAAATTGATTCAGAGACACGGTCAAGCTATTGTTCTCGGGCATGGAATGTTCTCCAGTTATGTCACCAACCGAAAAAGGTATCTGAAGATGTATTTAAAAAAANGTCATTGTTAAATCGTCTTTTTAAAGATATTGCAGAAATTGATACTAGGAATGAGCATTTTTTCACTGTCACTATTGTTTCCTTAGTGATCAATGTAAATTCAGTTCAATTATGGAAAAAAATGGACTGGGCAATTGTTCATTTTGTTTTATTTAATTTTTAAGGAGCTGAGGATCCCAGTGCAGGTTTAGGTGAGGAAATGCTGTCTGCTTCCAGTAACCCATTACAGTAATGTAACTGTCCTGTTACTTGTGTAAAAGAAAACATGATGTTATTTTTGCCTGCGTGATTCTAACCTAGATTTTCTGCGTTTATGTAATTTTTTACAATAATAATAATAATCCTTGCATTTGATATAGCGCTTTTCACGTCTTCTCCACGTCTCAAAGCCCTTCACAGAATAGACTGTAAAGTGAATTGACCGTATATTTGTGGGCGAAATGCGGCAGCCAATTGCGTACAGCAGTGTCCCACAAACAGTCGTGGATTGAAAATGACCGATTTATTGTTGTTTTGTTTTTTCGGAGGGATTATTATTAACTCATTCATTCTGGAAAAAAATCTCAACTGAAATGAAGCCCTTCAGGACTGGGATATCCAGGTTTATTTTAGCTTTCACAAATTTAGACCCAGAAATTCTTGGATTCAAACCACAAATCCCAGCTATTTCTACTTTCAACTCTCTACCCCCTCCTCGCTCCCTTCCTTCCCTCCCCTCACCCTAACCATTTCCCCCCAATGCTCGGGTCCTGACCCAACTGTCCAGTGCCTTGAGACGTCCTCCCGACGTGAAAGGCGCTCTAAAAATGAAATCTTGTTGTTGTTGTTGTTCAAACATGTTAAATTAAGTATTAGAGGATGGTAGTTGGAGCAGCCTTAAGTCGTGCGAAGGGGCCTTCTCCCTTGTAATAAATTGAGGGTATAATAATTCTTGCATTTGATATAGCACCTTATCACATCATTGAGACTTCTCAAAGCGCTTCACAGAATAAAGTGTAGTGACTGTATTTGGATGTGCTAGCCAGCAACATGCGCAGGGAGTAGAGGAGGTATTAGTTCTCAGCCAGGGAGGCCAATGAGTTAAAGAAATACAATTCACCCTGAAGACTTAATGGTGATAATTGAATGCAGTAACATTATGCTTTCAAATACATTTTCGATTTATCGCCACCTAATGACCCCCAATTGTTGTATTTTCACAACAGATCGCCCAGTGCTGGCTGATAATCCCCCAAACAAAATAAATCACCACTTTAGGGCTGGCTAAATAAAACACCTGGGTTCAATTCCAGGCAGGGCGAAACCTTGGGCAAGTTTCCTTACTCCACACAGAGCCTAATAATAATCCCTCCAAAACAAAACAATAATAAATTGTTCATTCTCAATCCATGACTGTTTGTGGGACACTGCTGTGCGCAATTGGCTGCCGCGTTTCGCCCACGGTCAATTCACTTTACAGCCTATTCTGTGACGCGCTTTGAGGTGTCAAGAAGACGTGAAAAGCGCTATATCAAAAGCAAGGATTATTATTATTATTATTATTTAAACTTCCCCAGAAATGTGAAATACTCAATGATTTCAATGCATAACAATGATGAATGTGTACAAATGTTATCATTCTCAGCATGGAGCACAGCATCCAGGAAAAGAGGTAACCTTTATACAATGAGAGTATCATCAACTTGAGGGATGATTATTTATTTTGACTTAATCATTCTTTCATAGCCAATGGATTAGATTATATTTACTTAACCAATTCAAATCACTAGAGAGGGAGCGCGAGGAAACGGTGAAGAAAGACAATGAGGACAAGTTGGAGGGTTAGAGACACAGAGGGCAAGATGGAAATAGAGAGGAGTGAGACAGAATGGCTCAATGGTGGGGTCAAGACATAGAGATCTTGGCAAATGTTTTTTCCTTCCGCCCCTGCCTGATCACGTGCAGGGTACCCCGAGGCTCCACCCTTGACCTCCTTCTTTTCCTTATCTATATCCTCCGTCTCGGCAAAGTTATCAGCAGACCCGGGGTCAACTTCCACATGTATGCAGATGACATCCTTCACCTGCTCCAGCTGCCACTTCCAGGCCGCTGATGTCCTGTCAGCTTGTTTGATGGACATCAAGGCCTGGATGAGCGCAAATTTCCTGCAGCTGAATGTCAGCAAGATGGAAGCCATACTCTTTGGCTCCAGTCAACAGCTCCTCTTCTGTGGGTCTGAAGTCCTCAACCTCCCGGGATCTCCCTCAGACTCACCGAAACCCGTGCACAGCTTAGGTGTCAGGTTTGATCCCCAGCTTTCCCTTCTACCCCACATCCTGTCCCTGACCAAGACTGCTTTTTTCCACCTCCATCACATTGCTCACCTCAATCCCTATCTCGCAACCAAAGCAGCCCAAACCCTCGTCCACACCTTTGTCACTTCCCAGCTGGGCTATTCCAATGGGCTCCCCAGCTCCACAATACACAAAATCCAATTAATCCCAAACTCAACCGCCTGGACATTATCCCGCACAAAATTCCGTACCCCCATCATACCAGTCCTTGCCAGGCTCCACTGGCTCCCAGTTACCGAACGGATCAATTTCAAGATCCTCTCACTCATTTTCAAACCATTTCATGCCCTCACACCTCCCTTTCTATCCGATCTGCTTACTCCCCACTCCATCACCCGCTGCCTCCACTCGGCTGGCTTCGGCCTCCTGTTTGTCCCTCGTGGCCTCAGCTCCACCATCAGAGAGAGTTCCAGTGGTTAGTGCAATTGTAATGGGCAATTAACAACTGGAACAGATTGGCATTAAGGGAGGTAAAAGCCAGGACACTGGGATTTATTTAAAAAGCAGCTTGATACAGTCATGTGTTTGCTACAGTGGGGTGTGTGCTCTGGGAGGAAGAGAGTTGATGGGCTGTAATCTTGAGGAGTGGCTGAAGTATCTCTAGTTTTGACAATTTATGTCTAAACCTCATTGTCTTATATTCTTATTTCACTTTTCCAGCTGTTGTGAAATTGGATTCATCCAGCGCAGATCCACTCTATAGTGTTTTGTCTGGAAACAGCAGCTTGACTTGGCAAAGTACACCAGGCCAAAAGAAGGCTGGCCATACCTGGGCCATATGGGCCATTGATGCCATCAGCTCTGGGAAGCATTATTGGGAGGTGACTCTAGAGGGCTCTGCTGTGTGGTTTGTGGGTTTGGGGAGGAAAACTCTAAAACTGTCTTGGCTGTCCAGACCCAAACCTCAGGATGGCCAATGGGCTATGATGATGTGGAACATGTCGAGGGATAGTTACCAGATCAGGTCGTTAGGCTCAGACATAGTTTTAGTTCAACTGAACAGAATCGGTATCTACGTGGATTATGAGGGGGGGAAGGTTGCCTTTTATAATCCAGACAATCACAACCTTCTCATGGTACTCAACGGGCCTTTCAATGGACAGATTTACCCTTTGTTCAGACTCTGCGTCAGCGGCCAACAAAACATCAAACTCACAATTTCCTAATCTCCTAACATTTGCTTCTGTACCGGGGGGGACCCAGTGCACCAGAGGGGGGGGGGGAACTCGCTGCACTGAGGGGACACGCTGCACCGGGGTGGGGGGGGGTCGCACAAGCTGCACCGGGGGAGGGGGGTGGACACACGCTGCACCGGGGGGGGGGGGGGGACACGCTGCACCGGTGGGGGGGGACACGCTGCATAAGTTTCTAAGATTTTATCCTGACCCCATCCTGACCTGTCACTGAAGGAGAAGGTTATGAATCTTTTATTGCTTGAAAACTAATTTGTTCCTTGGAGAGAGAAATTATTTTCTGTTTCTTATCTCGGTTCATTTTGCTGAAGAAAATAACGGATGTGATTCTATGATCAGTCTGACATATGATGTTCAGTGATATACTGGTGCTGTTGATGGGCACAGTATTTATCTGGGGAGTGGGAAACAAAACATTCTGTTTGCTCAGCGTAATGTTTTGTACTATGTAAGAAACCAAATGTCTAACTTGTTCTAAAGGCACACTATGCTTGATAATAAACTTCTATCTTCCAATTAAATTTCAGTCTGAGGATTTCTAGTCAGGGTCCAGATATGGGGGAGGAAAGACAGCTGAGGATTGAATCTGCCTCCTCGGTTGCACACAGGTTCAGTGAATCTGAGGGATAGACTGGGAAGATTCAGGTAAGAGCCACAATTGAGGAGACGTTGACGGGAGCCAAGAAGGATGACTTCTGTCTTGTCAATATTCAGCTGCAGAATGTTGGCGCTCATCCAGGCCTGATAATAACTTTTATTTGCCGGATGGTACCATGGGCTCATTAATGTGCACCTGCACAGGCAGATGGTTTATCATTTCATCCAAAGGGTAACACCTTCACAAGCCAAACGGAGAGTTTGTGTATCCCAACTGCACATGGAAATTCCCACGATATTTATTGGAATGTGCACCGTCTCCCTGGAGGGATCCATCCCGCTTACCTAATTCCAGAAAGTATTGGGCACAGGATAGGCTCAGTCTCCAAGTAGCTGCTGGAGGTTATATAATAATCCTTGCATTTCATATAGCGCCTTATCTCATCTTCTAGACATCTCAAAGCCTTCACAGAATATACTGTAAAGTGAATAAAGTGAATTGACTATATTTTTTGGGCAAAAGATTAACTACATATAGCGCTCACGCACAGCAGTAACATGCACACACAGTAATCTCACACACACACACGTGGTATGTAGAAATACCAAGACCACTGAAGTTAACTGGCAACCTGAAGTTTATTTGGAACCGGTTTGAATGAGATATCACGGTATTTGTCTTAGCCATTAATATACTAAAGCAGGGAGCTCTGGGCGGAGAGAGGCTGTTTGTTGCCTCTCTGGGGTTGGGGTGAAGGATGTCTCGGCAGGGCTAGAGGACAATTTAAAATATGAGGGCAAGGATCCGTTGGTGGTACTTCACATAGGTACCAATGACATCGATAGAGCAGGCCAAGATGACTTGAGAAGGGAATTTGAAGAGCTGGGGTCCAAATTGAAGTCGAGATCACCGAAGGTGGTAATCTCGGGACTACTGCCTGTACATACGACAATTGGTACAGGAACAAACAAATTAAGGACTTGAACGCATGGCTAAAAGAGTGGTGCGGAACTCAGGGATTTCTTTTCATGGGTCATTGGCACAAATATTGGGGGAAAAGAGAGCTCTTTTGGAGAAAAGGGCTGCATTTAAATCGTGCTGGGACAAATGTCTGAGCTAAACAAATTAACAGGGAAATACATAGGAATTTAAACTAGTAAGGGGGGGGGGATATATAGGTAAGAGAAACCATAAGTTAGCATTAGAAAAAGTAAAGATGACAGTGCAGAATAGCATGTCAGATAATAGGAATATGTTAACTAGGGGTAAGAAGCTTGGCAAAGTAGATAAGGAATCAGAGAGTAGAGGAAATGGTAGGAAATTAAAAATGTTATATGTGAATGCGCGATGCGTTCGGAATAAAACTGATGAACTAAAGGCACAAATAGACACATGTGAGTACGATCTGGTAGCCATCACTGAAACATGGTTACAAGGAAATCTAGGGTGGAAGTTAAATATTCCAGGGTTCTCAGTTTACAGGAAAGATAGGCACTGTGGGAAAAGAGGTGGGGGGGGTAGCCCTGTTAATTAGGGATAAAATAAAAGTAGTGGAAAGGAAGGATCTGAAATCCGATGACCAGGAGGTCGAGACAATATGGGTCAAAATAAAAAAATAGGCAGAAAATATTAATGGGAGTGGTTTATAGACCCCCAAACAGCGATCACAATATAGCACAGGGTATCAATCAAGAAATCAGTGGAGCGTGTAAGAAAGGTAAAACGATAATAGTGGGTGATTTCAATCTCCACATAGATTGGGGAAACCAAATCGGCAAAAGTAGGTCATAAGAAGAGTTCATTGAGTGTATGAAAGATAACTTTCTAGAGCAGTATGCCGAGGAACCAACTAGGGGACAGGCCATCCTAGACCTTGTTTTGTGTAATGAAACAGGGCTGGTTGGCAGTATAGGTATTAAGAATCCTCTCGGGCAGAGTGATCACAATATGATTGAATTCTGCATTAAGTTAGTGAAGGATATAGTTAAATCTGAGGCAAGTATTCTGAATTTAAATAAAGCTAATTTTGTAGGTATGAGGAAAGATTTAAGTAAAATAGACTGGTGAATAATAATAATCCTTGCATTTGATATAGCACTTTGCACGTCTTCTAGACGTCCCAAAGCGCTTCACAGAATATACTGCAAAGTGAATTGACTGTATATTTGTGGGCGAACGCGGCAGCCAAATGCGCACAGCAATGTCCCACAAACAGTCATGGATTGAAAATGACCAATTTATTATTATTGTTTTGTTTTTTTGGAGGGATTATTATTAGGCTCTGACTGTGTGGAGTAAGGAAACTTGCCCAAGGTTTCGCCCTCTGCCTGGAATTGAACTCAGGTCTCTCACTTGCAAAGCGAGTGCTCTAACCACTGAGCTACAGGATGTTACATTTATTGTACTGTTTTTGCATTGCTGGTAACAATGCAATAAATTTATAATAAAAATAATAAAAATAAGATTAATAAGATTAAGAGGTAAAAATGTAGACCAACAGTGGCAAATATTTAAGGATGTAGTGCAAAATTCTCAGCAGTCGCATATTCCCTTGCGGAATAAGAGTACCACAGGCAAAGCAATTCATCCGTGGCTAACTAGAGCAGTTAGGGAAAGCATCAAATTAAAAGAAAAGGCTTATAAAACTGCCAAGAAAAGCGGCAAATCTGAAGATTGGGAGAGTTTTAGAAAGCAGCAAAATAAAACTAAAAAACTCATTAAAAGTGAGAAAAAGAAGTATGAGGGTAAGCTCGCTAGGAACATTAAGTCTGATTGTAAAAGTTTTTACAAATATATTAAGAGGAATAGGCTAGTGAGGGTAAATGTAGGTCTACTACAGTCAGAGACGGGAGAAGTTGTAATGGGGGACAAGGACATGGCAGCGTCCCTAAATGGGTACTTTGTCACCCTAGAAGACATAACAAGTCTGCCAACAATAGAGATGCACCAAATGGATAAGGATAGGGAGCAACTTAGGGAAATTTTCATGAGTAGAGAATTGGTGCTAGGAAACTGTTAGCACTAAAAAGTGACAAATCCCCTGGTCCGGGTGGCTTGTATCCCAGGGTTTTAAAAGAGGAGCTTATGAGATAGTGGAGGCCTTATGTCTGATCTTCCAAAATTCCTTGGATTCTGGAACAGTCCCTATGGATTGGAAGATCGCTAATGTCACACCACTATTTAAAAAAGGTGGAAAGGAAAAGATGGGGAACTATAGGCCAGTTAGTCTCACATCAGCGATAGGAAAATTTTTAGAATCGTTGATTAAGGATGTGGTAGTGCGGTATTTAGGGGAACACAATATAATTAGGCCAAGTCAACATGGCTTTACAAAAGGGAAGTCATGTTTGACAAATCTCATAGAATTTTTTTGAGGACATTTCCTGTAAACTAGATAAGGGTGAATCAGTGGATGTGGTCTATTTGGACTTCCAGAAGGCATTCAATAAGCTGCCACATAAAAGGTTAGTCCAAAAGATAAGGGCCCATGGAATTGGGGGGAGCATATTAACGTGGATTGGGGAATGGTAAACGGGTAGGAAACGAAGAGTAGGGATAAACGGATCCTTTTCAGATTGGTGGGATGTGACTAGTGGAGTGCCACAAGTCCTTGGGCCTCAGCTATTTACCATCTACATCAACAATTTAGATGAGGACATCAAAGTTAATATATCTAAATTCGCGGATGACACAAAACTAGGAGGAAATGTCTACACTGAGGACAACATTAAAAAAATGCAGCAAGACATAGATAGGTTAGGTGATTGGGCAGGTAGGTGGCAGATGAAGTATAATATAGGGAAGTGCGAAGTCATCCACCTAGGTAGCAAAACAGTAGAGCGGGTTATTTTTTAGAAGGGGAGAGATTAGAATGTGTTAGCGTCCAGAGGGACTTGGGTGTCCTTGTACACCAATCACAGAAAGTTAGTCTGTAGGTGCAGCAGCAATTAGGAAGGCGAACGGTATGTTAGCATTCATTATGAAAGGATTAGAGTATAAGAGTAGGGAAGTCTTGCTTCAACTGTATAGGGCCCTGGTGAGACCACACCTGGAATACTGTATGCAGTTTTGGTCTCCTTATTTAAGGAAGGATGTACTTGCCTTGGAGGGGGTGCAGCGTAGATTTACTAGGTTAGTACCAGGGATGAAGGGGATGAGTTACAAGGATAGGCTGACCAATTTGGGCCTATATTCTCTAGAATATAGAAGAATTAGAGGGGATCTTATAGAAACCTATAAGATCATCAAAGGGTATGATAGAGTAGATAGTGGGAGATTGTTTCCCCTGGTTGGAGAAACTAAAACCAGGGGTTACAATGTTAAAAACAGAGGCCAACCCTTTCACTCTGAGTTGAGGAAGAAATTCTTCACTCAAAGGGTGGTGAATGTATGGAACTCGCTACCCCAAAGGGCTGTTGACGCTCAGTCCTTGAACATATTCAACACTGAGACAGATAGATTTCTTATTGCAAAAGGGATATGGGGATAAGGCAGGGTCAGGTTATTAGCTGGAGTTAGATTAGAAGATCAGCCATGATTGAATGGCAGGGCAGGCTCGAATGGCCTACTCCTGTTCCTACATGTTTGTTATGTTAAGGAGGGAGGGAGGGGGTGACGGGGAGGGACTCCAGGAGGGAGGGGCATAGGGTGGGTGGAGGCGCTCCGGGAGGGAATACACATCACTGCAGACAATTGTCTCCTGGACTCAATTCTGTCCGGAAACGCAATGTGCTCCCCACCATCCTGCGGCAGTAATCCTCCTCAAACATCTGGTTCTGAGCCACAGTGAAGTGTGTTTTCCAGTCTCCCACAATGCCTGTGAGGACAGAGCTCAATGTCACAATAATAATCAATTTATAATCGTTGCATTTGACACAGCACCTAATCACGTCGTCTAAGACATTTCAAAGCGCTTCACAGGATATGCTGTAAAGTGTAGTGTCTGTGTATTTTGTGGGCGAAACAAAGCAGACAGTTTTCACACTGCAATGTCCCATTTAGGCAATTGTCATCCAGGACACCGGAGAGAGAGAGAGAAGAGAGAGAAACTCTCCTCTCTTTTCCCCTTGGCAGCACCATGGGAGATCTTTTATGTCTGTGCTGAACAGGGCACAGACAGGGAGTGGAGTTTAAGGTCTCTCCAAGAATGTGGAGCTTTCTCCCACAGCACTGCAGTGTCAGCTTAGACTGTGATTCAAAATCCTGACAAGGGACTCAAACTCACAACCAGAAGCGAGAGCACAAGCGACTGAGCCAAAGTCTGAAAGACTGAGACAAGAGAGAGAGTGAGGGACTGAGCAACAGACTGAGAGAGCAAGTGAGTTGACTGAGCCATAGGCTGACACTGATTCCTTGTGTACCATCATGATCTAAGACGCATCCTCTCACCTTTCCTCATGAATGAAGATATTCTTTGGTCCAACACATCAAGTGGAACATTTGAATGGTTGGTCATTGGGTTGAGCTTCATGGCGTTGAAGCTGGTGTGAGCAACGATGGTGTCCAGTTCCTTGCTGCCTAGCTCCTTGCCCAGAAACTCAGCCACCCGCTTGATTTCTCGCCTCGGGTCTTGTTGCGAAACTGGGCAGTGAAATAAGCTGGCCGATTTAGATTTAGTGAGCAACAACACAGGCCAATTTGGTAGCTAATCACCAAATTAGCAGTAACCAGGGAGCCAGAGTCCTCAATCTGCAGGATTATTGGCCAAAACACTGGGAGAGAGAAACTGCCTTCTCTTCCCCTGGGATGTGGACAGACATGTAGAGAGAGCAATAACTTGCATTTATATAGCGTCCCTCACGCAGGGTTGTGTCCCAGTGAGCTTGACAGTGGTGGAGCACGTCACCAAACCATGGAGAGGTGACTGTAAAGATAGTTGAAGAGGAAGGTCTTCAGGTGTGATCTGAAGATAGGGAAGGAGGGGACAAGGGGGAGCAATAGACCAACAGAGGGAGTGTTCCAGAGTTTCCGGATGCAGTGGCTGTAAGTGCGGCCACTGATGGTGGAACTCGGGGCATGAGGGATGTCCAGGCCGGAGCCAGCTGAGCAGAGGAATGAAGGGATTTGAAAATGAGTGTGAGGATTTTGAAATCGTTCAGTGATAGGCAGCCAGTGGATCCTGGTGAGGCTGGTGTGATGGAGGTATGGAGTTTAATGGGGGTGAGTTTGCGGGTGGTGGAGTTTTGGACTTACTGGATTTTGGGGGGAGATTACAGAGGAATGCATTTGAACAGTTGAGGCGGGAAGTGATAAACACATGGACGAGGGCTTCGGCTGCGTTTGGGACAATGTATGGTCAGTGGTTGGATCTAACCCTGACCTGGGAGTGTGGACCGGCAGTGTGTGTGTGTTAGAGGATCTGAAACATTGTGACCTCCGACCCCAGTCTTTACCTCCTTCATGTCTTCATAGAACATGTAGAGAATGGGAAAGTTTCCTCTCTGCTCCCACCATCCCTTCACGTGATCATGCCACAACCCATACATGACTGAACAGGGGAGGAAACACGTGTTTAAAAAGTTGTTACGTGTATAGAGAGACACAAAGAGATGGAGGGATGGAAAGAGATGGAGGGATGGAAAGAGATGGAGGGATGGAAAGAGATGGAGGGATGGAAAGAGATGGAGGGATGGAAAGAGATGGAAAGACATGGAGAGATGGAAAGAGATGGTGAGATGGAAAGAGATGGAGAGATAATAATAATAATAATCCTTGCATTTTGATATAGCGCTTTTCACGTCGGGAGGACGTCCCAAAGCGTTTCACAGAACACACTGTAAAGTGAATTGACTGTATATTTGTGGGCGAACGCGGCAGCCAATTGCGCACAGCAATGTCCCACAAACAGTCGTAGATTGAAAATGACCAATTTAATTATTGTTTTTGTTTTTTGGAGGGATTATTATTAGGCGTGTGGAGTAAGGAAACTTGCCCAAGGTTTCGCCCTCTGCCTGGAATTGAACTCAGGTCTCTCGCTTGCAAAACGAGTACTCTAACCACTGAGCTACAGGACTCCACGGGGATGGGGAGAGATGGAAAGAGATGGAGAAATGGAAAGAGATAGAGAGAGACGGAGAGATGGAGAGAGGGATGGAACGAGAGTACCTCACCACCACCCACGTGGGAAGAACTGACCATTTCCCGTCAGGAATTTCTGTAAAAATTCCTCCCAGGGCCCGGGATCCGGCTTCAACTTGCTCATTCGGTCGAAGTGGAAAGACGAAACCACATTATCCTTGGCGTTTCGAGCGCAATAAATGATCTAGTGAGAGAGAGACACGGAGAGAGGGTGTGTGAGACAGAGAGTGAGAGAGAGGCACAGAAGGTCTATGTGTGACAGAGGAGAGTGTGGGAGAAGGAGTGTGAGAAAGGAGAAAGAGTCTGTGTGAGACAGGAGAGTCAGACAGAGAGGAGAGTGTGAGAGAGATGGAGTGTGAGAAAGGAGAGACAGAGTGTGAGAGGTGGAGGGAGTAGGGAGGGAGCAAGGGGAGATGTTTACCTTGCACTGTTTTTGAAGAAAGGATGTGGGAATGAGCTGGAACGGGAGATGCGTCTTAATCGGTTTTGGAGATGGAATCTCAGCAAGTAATTCTAGCCCTGAGAGAGACGGAGAGAGTGAGTGAGACAGAGAGAGCGAGAGACAGACAGAGAGCACAAGAGAGTGAGTGAATCAGAGAGAGAGAGAGAGCACAAGATAGTGAGTGAGTTAGAGTGAGTGAGTTAGAGTGAGTGAGTTAGAGTGAGTGAGTTAGAGAGAGAGTGAGTCACAGAGAGAGTGATTGAGAGTGAGTGACACAACAAGAGAGTGAATGAGACAAAGAGAGGGTGACTGAGACAGAGACATAGAGTGAGACAGCGAGAGGGAGACACACAGAGAGTGTGAGTGAAACACAGATAGAGAAACAGCCAGAGAGAGTGAGTGAGACAGAGAACGTGACACAGAGAGGGAGTGACACAGAGACTAAGAGTGAGAGACAGAGAGGGATAGGCAGCAAGAGAGAGACAGAGAGAAACAGACTACAAGAGGACAAGCAGGGCAGACTGACCAGTGCGTATTCCTGGGTAGGAGGCTTCAAGAAAGGGGCTGCGGTAATGGATGGGGCTTTGTTCACACTGCCTCACATCCCCTCCATGGAGCACACAGTCCACTATCTCCTGCATCCAGGTCGTGCCTGATCCCAGCCAGAGACAGTAACATTAACATAATTGTTATTATTAATACCAATAATACCCTAATAAAGGTTGCATTTGATATAGTACCTTATAACATCATCGAGACATCTAAAAGCGATTCATAAGAAAAACTGTAAAGTGTTGTGGCTGTGTATTTTGTGGGCGAAACCCGGCAGCCAATTGCATACAGCGACGTCACACAAACAGGCGCTGACTCACCTTAATGATTTAACAGGCACTAGAGATGAGATAGAAAAGCTTTATGATTTAATAATAAATTAAGAGAAGTTGAATACTGGGAAAATAAGCAATAGGCGTTAAGATTTTCATCTCAGGGTATAAAGTCTCCGGGTATAAAGGCAGTTGCAACACAGTAGAACTGAGGTCCTGGTGACCTCAAGGTCTGGGCTGCTGACCAGAGCTTGGAACGGGTAATATTTTTTCTGTTAATTAATGCTTATGTACTGTGTGTATAAATGATTCTACAACTGTTTCACCGATATTGGGATTGTCAAGTCAATCATTAACTAAGATAATCTGAGGTTTTTCCCCAGAATCCTAACGAAACAGAGCCATTTGACAAAGAGAAGTACTAAATTAATTTAATATAAATTAAAAATGGTAATGGAGAAAATAATGCGACTAAAGATAGATAAATCTGCAGAACCGGATGGATTCCACCCCCAGGGTATTAGAAGAAATTGGAGAGAAAATTGCAGATGTGCTAATCATCATTTTCCAAAGCTCTATATATTTGGGTATGGTGCCCTTGGATTAGAAAATTGCAAATATCATCCCATTATTTAAGAAGGGGGGAGAGAAACCAGGTAACTACAGACCTGTCAGCTTAACTTCAGTCATGGGGAAGTTACTGGAATCTCTCGTTGGGGACAGAGTGACTGAGCACTTAGACAAGTATGAGCTAAGCAAAGGGAGTCAGCATGGATTTGTGAAGTGTAGGTCATGTCTGAGGAATCCAATTGAATTTTTTGAGGAGGTCACTAATATGGTGGATAAGAGAGTGTCTATGGATGTCATCTACATGGACTTTCAGGAGGCATTTGATGAAGTTCCACACAGGAGGTTATTAGCAAAGATGAAAGCGCATGGAATTGGAGGTAACCTTGCGACGTGGTTGGAAATTGGTTTGGAGGCAGGAAACAGAGAGGAGGGATAAAAGGAACATTCTCTGATTGGTGGGATGTGACAAGTGGGACTGGACTATAATGAATGATTGATGAGTAAATTGGGCTTGTTGACGCTGGAAAAGAGAAGATTGAGAGGCGATATGATTGCTGTCTCTGCTGTCTCTAAGATTCTAAAGGGGAAAGACCATGTAGATCATAACCGGCTGTTTACTAGGTCTTAATAAAGAGCTGTTGTGTTGACCATCTGTATCCTCGAGTCTCTGTAAATTTCTAAGACAAGGAAAGGAGTTAATCGCTTAAAGAGCAGCTGTCGACATTGTAGTTCTTGCAGTGTAGACAGAACCAGATTCGACATCCCAGTTACCGAGCATTGGAGATAACCAGGAATGAGTGACTGACTCTGGCATGGTTGAGACACCTAAGGCTTAAAGGCTTAAGTTATAAGGACATGTTGCATAAACTTGGGTCTGTATTCCCTTGAGTGTGTAAGGTTGAGTGGTGATCTATCTGATTGAGGTGTTTAAAATAATAAAGGGATTCGATAGGGTAGATACAGAGAACCCAATTTCTCTGTTTGGGGAAATTCAGAACAAGGCGCCATCATCTTAAAATTAGAGCAAGGCCATTAAGGAGTCTTTCTTTCCCATTCTCTTTCCCGTCAGCGGTGTGGAGTACTTTAACGTCCACCCTGAGATAGACAGGGAACCAGAGAGTAAAAGAGAAATGTACTGACCTGCCTTCGGGTAGGTTGCGATCAGAACATCAGTCTTATCCGCCTCGAACTCTCCAACCTTTTCCATGTTTTTCAGAAAATAATTTGGGAGAGGAACTCCACGGAACGGGATCAGCTGTGATTTCCTGATCACTGACAGATCCATTGTCCAAGAGAGAGACACAGAAACAGAGAGAGTGACTGAAAGAGTGAGACTGAGAGACACTGACTCACAGATTCCTTCAGCGCAGATTTCTTTAAATCTGGTAGTTTCCCTCGGAGTGGATACGTCAGTGGAGATGGACTGCCTGAGCAGAGGGTGAGGACAGATTTATGCAAGTACAAAGGTGAGATAACAACAAACTCTGACTCACTCTCTTATCTTATTGTTCAGGCCCGAACTGGAGAATGCAGCTCACACGCAAGACCTGTTTACAAAAATCATTGTGAAATACCAGGAACATAACCATACCAACCAACCAATTAAAATTGACATTTGTGTCCTCCCAGCCTGGCTCAATCCCTCTCGCTCTGTCTGTGGCTCAGTCCCTCTTGTTCTCTCTAGCTCACTCTCTGTCTATGGCTCAGTCCGTCTCATTCTCTCTAAGTCTCTCTTTCAGTCCTTGGCTCAGTCGCTCACGCTCTCGCCCCCAAGTCAGGAGGTTGTGGGTTTAAGCCCCACGTTGGGATGTGGACTCATACTATCTAAGCTGATGTTCCAGCTGTGGGAGAGATCGCCACATTGTCAGAGACGCTGTCCTTCAGACGAGACGTTAAACCCAGCTGACAGATAAAAGTGTTTGCACATTTCACGAGTATTTGCAGGTACATTGCTATGTGCATATTGGCCATCTTAAACAGTCACTACACTATACAGCGAGACCTGTAAAGTGTCCTCCCGGGATGAAAGGCGCTGTGTCAGATGTGAGATTTTTAGAAATTAGCTGTACCCATTGCAGTTATATTTGTAACCAAGGGATCCAATATGAAATGTAGATTGACACACATAGACGTTTCATCTTTATCTATACTCACGTGGGAGGGCTCCTGTGGGAAGACTCATTTCTTTGAATGGGCAACTCAATTTGGCGCGCTGTTGCAGTCATTGAAGTGCAGCCGTGCTATTCTGTTCTTCAGTTTTATTTAATGGGCCTTCCGTCTTTTGTCGAGGATTTTTACTTATCCTTGAAAGGTTTGATTTTCGCTTAGGCATCTTTATAATGATAAATATCAATATTTCATTTATAATCACTGGGACGTCCTCCCGACGTGAAAGACTTTAAAAATGTAATTCTGTTGTTGCCGCGGCTTAGCTTCGTCTGTGTTCTCTGTTTTATTGCTGCTGCCACTTGGTTACATGCGTGCTCTGTGATGCACAATGCCACAGCGACCATTGGGCATGACCACAGTGGAAAACTGAAATATATATTTAGGCCATAACTCATGAACGATAGGAGATACTAGAAAACAAACTCCAAGTTGCAAGACGTTTCCAATGAGGTATAAATCATGTCTCTACGTCATTTGGTTATTATGATCCTACTTGAAGCACACACAGCCACAGAGACATTGCCGTTTTATTAATATAGTTAATTGGTATCCATACAGCAGCCAACATTCAAGGAAGCGTGTCAGGAGTGTGTAACACAACAAGTGAAAAGCAAAATGTTTATTGTTACTGAGAGGGATTTCAGAGATGGAGGAGAGGCGAGGAAAGGGGGGGGGGAAATAGAAAAGGAGGGGGAGAGAGAGACAAGGAGTGGGGAGAGACAAGGAGGGAGAGAGAGAAAAAGAGGGGGGGGAAAGAGAAAAAGAGAAAGAGCGGGAGGAGGAGAGAGAGAGAGAAGGGGAGAGAGACAGTGGGAGCTGACACACCCCGGGGGGTCACTTTTTCTTGGTATCTTTACAAGCCACCACGTAGCGCTGAGCCACGTTCAGGGGCGGTGAGTAGCCGTCAGAGTATGAGGTGTCTTCAAACAGCACCGAATAGTCCTCCTGTGGCTGAGAGAGAGAGGCTGTGTGTGAGAGACTGTGTGAGAGACGGCGTGTGCGCCTGTATACGCATGTGCGTGTAGTGCCTCAGGCCCGCACGCAGCACCTCGGGCACGCACGCAACGCCTCACGCGCACACGTACCCGCTGCGGGGGGCTGTGGATGAGAGCTCTGTAGAAGCAGGTGGTCTGGGGGTACAGGGCCAGCACCAGCTGCTCTTTCTGAAACAGGGCCTCGGGGTCTGTCTCGGGGTTCGCCTTCCACTGGGGCAGTGGGATAATCCGTCTGCGGCTCAGCGTGTGGCGTCTGCAGAGAGAGGGGAAGGGAGAGAGAGGGGGAGTGGGCAGAGGAGGGAAGAGAAGAGAGTGGTGAGAGAGAGAAAAGGGAGAGTGAGCGATCAGTTGACTGAAATACGGAATCTGTTGCTGCCAGAGTAAGGAAACTTGCCTTCGGTTTCACTCTGCCCGAGAATCGAACCGGGGTCCTCTTGCTTGCGAGGCGAGCGTTCTAACCACTGTGCAACAGGACTTCATGGTTGACTGAGGTCCCCTCTGAATCATTTCTCAAAATCAAAGCGTCCCCCCCCCCCCCTTCGAGCTTCACTTTTCACAAAGTTTAGACAATGTTAGAGACCGAGGAGAGCAGTGAGGCTGATCCCAGTGTTAGAGACAGAGGAGAGCAGAGGAAGGAGGACAAGCAATGAAATGTGTAGCTCAAAGGGGGTACTCTTTGATTTTGAGAAATGATTCAGAGGGGACCTCAACCAACTATGAAGTCCTGTTGCACAGTGGTTAGAACGCTCGCCTCGCAAGCAAGATTCGATTCTCGGGCAGAGCGAAACCGAAGGCAAGTTTCCTTACTCTGGCAGCATCAGCATCCACGGTTGCACACTCCACCTCACCAAGCCAGTTAGGAACCTAGGAGTCTTGTTTGACCCTCAACTGTCCTTTCTCCCCCATATCCGTACCATGACCCGCTCTGCCTTCCCCCACCTCCGCAACATTGCCCGACGCCGCCACTTCCTCACCCTTCTGGCCGCCGAAACCCTCATACACGCATTTGTCACCTCAAGGCTTGACTACGGAAACTCTCTCCTCGTCACCCTCCCCAACTCTTTCCTCCACAAGCTGCAGATATCATCCAGGACTCTGCAGCTCATGTCCTCTCCCGCACCAGGCTCCGTGACCCCATCACCCCCACCCTCGCCTAGCTCCACTGGTTCCCATCCCTCAGAGAGAGTTCAAAATCCTCGTCCTCACTTTTAAGGCCCTCCATGGCCTCGCCCCCTCCTATTTCTCTGATTTGCCGACCTATCAACCTGTCCGCTCCCTCTGCTTTGCTCCAGGTTTCCCGCTCGACCCGCCCTATCATCAGCGGCCGGGCTGTCAGCCTCTCTGCCCCCACCCTCTGGATCTCCATCCCATATTCCCTTCGCCTTGATCCCTCTCTTGCCTCCTTCAAGGCATGACTCAATACCCCCTTTTGGACTGCCTTCGGCCGCCCTCCTATCCCCTCTGCCCTCCCTCATCCCAACCTTGTCTCCCCACATGCTCGGGTCATGATCCCTGAATGCACAGCGCCTTGGGACGTCCTCCCAATGTGAAAGGCGCTTTACAAATGTAATTTTGTTGTTACTCCACAAGACCTCTGTTTATCCAGCAGTAAGTAGGAACCCAGTTGTTAGAACCCGATTAGGGTATCACTTTCTGGGGTAATAATCCCTCAAAAAAAATTGGGATCACTGAATCCATGCAATTGGCTGCCACGTTTCACCCAGAGAATACACAGTCAATCCACTTTACAGTATATGCTGTGAAGCACTTTGTGATAAGGCGCTGTATCAAATGTAAGGATTATTATTATTTTAAACTGGATTGAAAAAGTAAATCCCGATCATTACTTTCGAATGCAATGAGGCATTGGAATGAGAGGACACAGATTTAGTATTGTAAAGGGAAAATTCAGGACAGAAATCAGGAAGTATCTCCTTAGTCAGAGAGGAATTAACAACTGGACGAGGTTACAAGTGATATCTCCATAACGTGCAGTAACAGGTCGCCATACACAGGGGCATCCTTAGGGGACCTCACTGAGGACAACAACTTGCATTTATATTGCGCCCCTCACTCAGGGTAGCTTCCCAGAACGCTTGACGGTAATAACCAGAACTACGGGTCTGACACACACAATCTCTCTCACAGTCTCTCTCTCACACACTGTCTTTCTTTCTCTCACAGGGTCTCTCTGTCTCTCACTCACTCTTTTCCTTCCTCGTCGATATCGTCCACTTCGTACCTGGGAAATAAAACAGATATTTTACAATTTGATCATCTCCTCACTCTCTTCCCAGGATCTGGCTCCATCAGATAGAGGAAGCTTCCCCCCACCCCACCCTTGTGCCTGAGGTTGTCTTCAGGTCCCTGGGGAAGGTGAAAGGGTAGAAGCGCCCAGTCCCCAGCAGAGAGAGGAGCTGGGAGAGCGAGCGGTGTTCAAGTAGGTCAGAGGGGTGAAAAGATTTGCAGATGAGGACGAGGAGCTTGAATTCACTCCGCTGGAAGCCAGTGGAGGCTGGCGAGGACTGGGTCAAAGGGTGTGCGGAGTTTAGTGAGAGTGAGAACCTGGGAGGCAGGGACTTACTTATTTGCTGTGTGACTGTAACTGACCACCTCAGCCAGGATCCACTGCTCGTCCCCATCCACACCTTTCACCCTCGCGGCAACTTTATCTCCTGGTTTAACTACGTAATCGCTGGAGGCTGGGATAGCGCCACACAGCGGTGGAGGCCTGAGAGAGAGAGAGAGAATGTGGGAGAGAGAGATTGAGATCCTGAGTGAAAGAGAGTGAGAGAGGCAGAGAGAGAGAGAGTGTGTGTATGTGTGTGTGAGACAGGGAGAGAGATTGTGAGAGAAAGAGTGTGAGATAGCATGCGAGGCGGACAGAAAGTGTGAAGGAGACTGTGAGCAAGAGAGTTCCTGAATGATACAGAGTGAGGGAGGCAGAGAGAGAGAGAGAGAATGTGAGAGAAAGAGAGGATTGAGAATGAGAGAGAGAAAGAAAGACTTAATATCACTTGGCTCAGTTGGTCGTCCTCTCATCTCTGAGCCAGGAGGTTATGGGAGAGGGAGAGGGATTAGTGGAGGTAGTGAGGGAAGGTAGTCAGGAGAGGGGGGGGAAGTGGGGGTTGGAAAAGGAAAGGGAGAAGCTTGCTCACTTGTCTCCGGGTTTCCCGATCCACAGGGGCAGTGTCATGGCTGACTGTTGAAGTAGAGTCATGAGGACTCCACGCCTCATGGTTTTCCGGGGAGGCTCAGTATCGTTGTAAAGCCCAGCGTTACGTGCCGCTGTGGGTGAGGGGGGAACAGGACAATAACAGTAACATCTCTGTAATTACCCCAACCATCCCACCAAACCATCCCCAATTCAACCCCACCCAAAGTTCCACCCCAACCCCACACTAGGTCCCACCCCACCCCCACCCCAGGTCCCACTGCAGCCAGCTCAACCCCAACTCACCCCAACTCCAACCTAACCATATCCCATCTCAACCCCAACCAACCCGTCGGATAACACTTACCAATCCTTCTCTCTTCTAGCAAAGACTTGATTTCCGCAATTTTTCCCAGGGTTTTCCTCAAAATGCTTCAAATAAAAGAGAATAAGATTAGAGACTAATAGAGAGACCGATAAGAGAGACAAAGAGACGGACAGAGAGCGAGACGTCACAAGTTCCCCAACACTTACTTGCATTCAGCCTCAGCATCTGCTTTTGCTGTTGTGTACAAACCTCTAAGCTTAGTCCGGTAATAGGGAGAAACTGTGAGGGGGGGAGGCGAGAGAGAGAGAGGGAGATTTAATTTAATTGTTTATATCCTATTTCTCCCAAACACAAAAAAAGATGTCTCACCATCTCTGGCCCCCACCCCCGGCCAGTGTGTGTACCACTCAAAGAGAAAATTACCCATAGACAGAGGAGAGGTTGAGAGCGTTGGGAGATGGGTGGACAGTCAGAGTGAACGGGGAGGGGTTGGTTGGTTTCCATGTGTGTCAGACACCCGGCTGATCACGGTAATGGGTTTCCGTGTGTATCAGACACCCGGCTAATCACGGTAATGGGTTTCATGTGTGTCAGACATCCATCCGGCTGATGATGGTAATGGTTTTTCGTGTGTGTCAAGACACCCGGCTGATCACGGTAATGGGTTTCCGTGTGTATCAGACACCCGGCTGATCACGGTAATGGGTTTCCGTGTGTATCAGACACCCGGCTAATCACGGTAATGGGTTTCATGTGTGTCAGACATCCATCCGGCTGATGATGGTAATGGTTTTTCGTGTGTATCAGACACCCGGCTGATCACGGTAATGGGTTTCCGTGTGTATCAGACACCCAGCTGATCACGGTAATGGGTTTCCGTGTGTATCAGACACCCGGCTGATCATGGTGATGGGATTAATTTTCAAATAACTCACTCTTTTGCTCTGTCTGCATTCTCTCATGGGTTTTCTGAATGTTTAATAAATTGTGTTCACTTCTAGAACGTTCCTCCTGTACAACAATAACAACAAATTGCATTTGTACAGCTCCTTTCATCCCAGGAGGGCATTAAAGCGCTTCATAGGATTCACTGTAAAGTGTAGCGACTGTATATTTTGAGGGCAAAACGCGCACAGCAACAGCGTGGCAAGTGGGAGTGAACGGGGAGCCGGTGGTTCGAGAGTGAGGACAGCGAGAGTCTCTTACCTGAGTTTGCTTGATCAGCTGGTGCAAATTCCCCAGGAATTCTGAGATACGTGTATCAGTCGACACCAAAGCCATGGTCAACCTACAAAACACGGGATAACAAGCACTAGTAAAGGAGTAGGAGGTCATTCAGCCCTCCCAGCCTGTTGCACTAGGTTGTCAGATCTTTTAATCCCTTTTCCCTGCCTTTTCCCCAAACCCCGACCTCCGTTACTTCCTCAGTCCGTGTCCTCCGGAGCTGAGCTGCCTCCAAGTGACGGTAAGGTGGGGATCGAGCCCAAACCTCCGCGGCAATCCCTCCAGATATTATTTTCCGGCAGAAATCTACCCGAACTTGTTCTCGAAACAAACAACACTTGCAGCTTCCGCACATTTACTGCTCGCTCACTGCAGGCGTGTTTCCCCATTACCAGGTAAACACTTATGCTATCAGTGCTGATAACATCGCAGACACCGCGGTCACCGGGGGCCCCGCGGGAGTCATCCCACTCGGCTCCCGTTAACCCCGTTACCCTCACGGGTTGGGCGGTCCTGGCTGGACAAGCAACGGGAAAGCTTCCCAGACGGCGGTATCAATGGCCAGCCACGGACGGGGGCTTTAGCCGGTTAGACTCCAGCAGTTACCCCCCACCACCCAACAACGCACACGCTGGGTTTCCGCACGGGTCGGGTCGGGGCAGACGGTGGGGGGTGCAATCCTGGTAAATAAACACCGCCAGCCCCCAAAATACCCCTCCAGATTACAAACACCAACAAAAACCCCCCAAAGAAACCATTAAAACTGCTTACCCGGTTGCAATGGGTTTTTTTTTTGAGGGGGCGGTGGGGGGGAGGGGGCGCTGCAAACTTCAATCTCTCGCTCCCAGCGTCCAGTGGCGCGCGGGTAGTTGCTGGGGATTTGGAACGTTACCCGGGGGCGGTTGCTAGGGATTTGGAACGTTACCCGGGGGCGGTTGCTAGGGATTTGGAACGTTACCCGGGGGCGGTTGCTAGGGAAAGCTCGCGTTGCGGGTTCACCAGCGCAGTCGAGCGCCTCTGACCCGGCACCGAATGCAGAGCTTCGGAAGAGGCGGGGCCAATGCAAAAGGGGCGGTCCCAGCGCTCCCGGGCACCCGCGCATGCGATAGAGCTACAAATTCTGCATTCAGTGCATATTCCCGCGCATTTAATGCGGCTGCAAAAAAGAAAGTTGTCGCTCAGAAATCTGCAAAGGTGGAGCCCGGGTTGGCCTCCAGCGCAATGCACACACCTGCAGAATCTGCAGTCAAGTGCAGCACTCCCGCCCCCGTGCATTGCGCAGCGCAAACACCGAAATCCCTGGCATCTGATTCAGTGCCTTTCACCCCCGAGAGGACAACTCAAAACACAGAATATATTGTAAGTAGTGATGACTGTGTTTTTGCCCACAAACTACAGTCAGTTCACGTTGCAGTATATTCTGTGCAGAGCTTTGAGATATCTCAACGACTTGGTAAAGTGCTGTATGAAATGTAACGATTATTATTCCCTCCCCCCCCCCATAGTGCCAGAAGGTGCAATTACGCAGTGAGTCTGGCTCCCCTACTCCATTCCTCCCCCAGGGGTGGGTGGTTGCTGAGGATTTCACAGACAGGTTTATAACATAGGCATATGCATACATCCACGACAGCATGAGCTTCCCCTGTGCGCACTACAAGCATAATTCTTGCATTCCTCTCTCTAGGTTGAGGTCTTCTCTAACCTATTAATAATCCTTGCAAAAACATAAGTCGCTGGGAACACTCAGCGGGTCGCCCTGTCGGGAATCAAACCCCAGTCCTCTCACTTGAGAAGTGAGCGCTTTAAACAATACGCTGTAGATTCCATGTGAAACCGTGGTCCAGTCTGCCTGTTCAAGTGAACATTAAAGATCTGTTGCGACACTGTTTAAAAAGAGAAGGGAGTTTTTCTCTCCCAGTGATCTGGCCAACACACCCTCAGAATAAAATCGCTTGCTTCCTCAGGGAAGCACCAGCTTGCTCGCTGTGAGCAACACAGTCACTACACTTGACAGTATATCCTGTGAAAAGCTTTGAGACGTCTCAACGATGTGATAAGGAGCTCTATCAAATGTAAGGATTATTATCACATTTATATCGGAGTCCTGTAGCTCAGTGGTTAGAGCACTCGCTTTGCCAGTGAGAGACCTGAGTTCAATTCCAGGCAGAGGGCGAAACCTTGGGCAAGTTTCCTTACTCCACACAGAGCCTAATAATAATCCCTCCAAAACCCAAAACAATAATAAATTGGTCATTTTCAATCCACGACTGTCTGTGGGACATTGCTGTGCGCAATTGGCTGCCGCGTTCGCCCACAAATATACAGTCAATTCACTTGACAGTGTGTTCTGTGAAGCGCTTTGGGACGTCCTCCCGATGTGAAAAGCGCTACATCAAATGCAAGGATTATTATTATTATTATTATATTGACAAATAAATACTCATTTCCACTGGCAGGCGATGGTTGATGCAAATATATAATGTTTTATCCAATCGCATTACCACAGGATGGCTCCAGGGTGGCAGTGACGCTCCACCCCAAACAGTGAATTTATACTGCGCTTGAGAGAGTGATCAAATGAGAGAGGGAAAGTGGAGGAAGAGAGTTGACGTTTAAATAGAAAAGTTAGTTCTCATCCAGGACTTGATGTCTAACAGACATTCTGTCAGCACAGCAGTGGTCCTGGAGTCAAGGGGGAGGCAGAGAGGTACAGTTGATGTCAGTAGAGATGAGGTCACCAAGAGGGAGCATATAGATATTGATGAGGAGGGGACCAAAGACCGAGCCCTGAGGAACACCACACAAAACCGTGCAGGAGTTGAAGAAGAAACATTTGTGGATACAAAGTGGAGACAGTCACAAAGGTAAAATTTGAACCATTAAACTAACCTTAAAAGAAGAAAATGCTTTTAATTTATAACTAATCTTAACCTGTGGGCCACATCTCACACCCTTAACTCTAAAGCCAAAGGCAAAAATTAAAGATTAAAGCCACCAAACCCCAATTTTGGGGTCAGCCGGGTATCTGACACATGCAGAAACCTGTCACCGTGCTTAAGGGTATCCAAACCAGACTGACAATTCCACCATTCTCCTGCTCACAAATCAGACAGACCAATTGAGCGAGGGTCCGACGAGCTGGAAATACAGATTTTCAACTGCCGCTTTTTTTCTCTTTGCATCCTAATGAATAAGATCCAAACCCGGGATATAGATGATGTGAAAAGCGCTATATCAAATGCAAGGATTACCATTATTATTGATTATATATAAACCTGCGTCTCACAAATCCAGACTCCAGGTAACACCTTCCAGCTGCTGTTCTCTCAAGCCACAGTGTTTCTGAGATCCCCACTTCTCACTGCTTCTAGGAAATAGTCTGAAAATAAATCATTCAACACTTCAAATGTTGATTTCTTTTCCTTCAAACCATAATAGCTATGTGTTTCACATTACTAATGCAAGACCATTACACAAACAAGCTGAGGTTCTGTGCAATACCATGATTTTACACTCCTGCACTTCTTGCATTAAAATACCATCAAACTGCCCACTTCACACATCATAGTTTGAACCAGATGTAGTCTCTGCCAGGCTTCTGTCACTAGTTTATCTCAATGGAGTGCACACCATTGGCGGCAAAGGCAAATATCCATACTGATCTGGTGTGCATATATGCAACTCACAGTCCTCTTTAAATACTCTTAAGCATGGTGATGTGTTTCTGCATGTGTTGTTTTTTAATTTAACAACAAGGTTACATTTGTATAGCGCCTTTCACATCAGGAGGACTTCCCAAGGCGCTGGACAGAGTACAGCATTTCAGATCCGAGCTGGGCTCGGAGGGGGTGGGTGTGTGGGGGGAAGAGGGGAGTGAAAGGGGGTAGCCGATGGCATGGTCGAAGAGGAGGGTCTTGAGGCGGGACTTGAAGGAGGCTAAGGAGGGGGCGAGGCGAAGTGACTGGGGGATGGAATCCAGAGGTTGGGGGCTGAAGGCTCTCCCGCCAATGGTGGGGCAGGTGGGTCGGGGGACGTGGAGCAGCCAGAGCCGACTGAGTGGAGGCGGTTAGGAGGTCGCAGAGGTAGGGTGGGGCGAGGCCATGAAGGACCAGGATCTTGAACTGGATACTTTGAAGGATAGGGAGCCAGTGGAGTCGGGCGAGAATGGGGGAGATGGGGTCACGGAGTTTGGTGAGGGAGAGGACACGGGCTGCAGAGTTCTGGATTATCTGCAGCCTGTGGAGGGAGGAGTTGGGAAGGCCAACAAGTAGGGCGTTTGCATAGTCGAGCCTGGAGGTAATGAAGGCATGAACAAGAGGTTCAGCGGCCTGAGGGGTGAGGTAGTGGCGGAATGTGGCAAAATACAAAGATGTCACAGATTATTAACTCATCACATTGAGTCTATTGATTCAATCTATACAATATAATACAGTTTATAATTAAGAGCGCTTAACAATTCTGGCAGAGCCCAAGAGCTGAGGGTGGGAGCTGAAGGGCTGGAGGAGGCACAATTTGAGGTATGCCTTAAAAGAGGGAAAGGAAAGGGCAAGTCAAACCTGTATTACAAATTGCTGCATACAATTACAAGTAAAATCAGGTCTCCAGAAGCTGAATAATGTTTCCATTCATTAATTTCTGGAATAACAGCCTTGTATTCCATGTTGTTAACTTCAGCACTAACTCTCCTGGACCTTACACATATTTATGTGTGATTAATGGCACAGTATGTACTTTCCAGAAAAATCTGAAGGCTGAATAAATAGTTGTTTTCTTTACTTTTGAACTAGACTCTCTCCTTTGTACAGAAATTACGACTCCTTATTAAATTACCATCAGAGGAAAGTAAGAATATTATTTAAACAAGGGTTTAAATAAACAAGGATGCAAAATTAAATATATTTTTNAATGAATTTACTGCACCACAGCCATCAAGGGGGAATGCTCTGCCTAATTCCGTTAATAAGATGTTTTGCTTTCTCTCTCCTGAAACTTTTTGGTTTACTGTAGTCGTTCACAGAGTAACTTGTGGCCATTCTTTATTCTGAGCAGCAGCAAAGGTGATGTAACATTGGGTTGTCGCAAGCAAGCGAAATTCCAACAAATATCATTGAATGGATATAAAAAACAAAAAAACTCGTGTTTTTGTATTGTTTCTAGTTTCTAACTCAGACAAAAATGATAGCAACTGAGCCAACCTGTCACAACACTTCAACTGGGTCATTGCAATCAATCCCATCATTTATTTGAACTACAGTCATCTACTGTTATTTTCCCCAAGGTACTTTTAAAGTCTAGTTCAGGGCTAAATTAACCCCTTAACTCAATTCAATCAGCTGATAAACAAATAAGCCCAACATGTCCCATTTTTCAAATGTATCCGTTCAATATAACTATAAAATCATGAAATAATGACAGTTCACAGTTATAATCTTTAAGGCACAAAATATAAATATATCTGCATACAAGGAAAATCCACAGTAGTACAGATGATTAGGGATTTGCCATAAGAAGCATCTCTCCAGCACAGGTTCGTTAGGTTATACATGTGGTGTAATTTACATTTAACTTCAACTCACCACCTCGCACCTCAACCCATGAGTCAGAAGGCTTTTGGTCCATTTTCTATGTCCTAACGTATCTCATCCTGGCAAACTTTTCTAATGTTGACCCTCATATACGAATTCATAACATTCAGGCTCAACTACACAAACTCCCTGCTTGTCAGGCTCCCCAACTCCACCCTCCGTAGGCTGCAGAACATCCAGAACTCTGCAGCCGGTGTCCTCCACCGCACCAGTCTCCGCGACCCTATCACCCCCATCCTCGCCCGACTCCATTGACTTCCCATCACACGGAGGATACAGTTCAAGATCCTGGTTCTCACTTTCAAAGCCCTCCATGGCTCCCCCAGCCTCTGCAACCCCCTACCACCCTGCCGGCTTCCTCCACTCATCGGGCTCCGATCTGCTTCACGTTCCCCCATCTCACCTCACCATTGACAGGAAGGTCTTCAGTGACTCTGTTCTCACT